CGGCGTCGTTACACATCACGTCTCTACATGACGTAGTCGTTACAGATCACGTCTCTTCAAGACATAGTCGTTACACATCACGTCTCTACATGATGCAGTCGTTATACATCACATCTCTACATGACGTAGTCGTTACACATAACGTCTCTACATGACGTCTACATGACGTAGTCGTTACACATCACGTCTCTACATGACATAGTCGTTACACACCACGTCTCTACATGACGTAGTCGTTACACATCCCGTCTCTTCATGACATAGTCGTTACACATCACGTCTCTATATGACGTAGTCGTTACACATCACGTCTCTACATGACGTAGTCGTTACACACCACGTCTCTACATGACGTAGTCGTTACACATCACGTCTCTACATGACATAGTAGTTACACATGACGTCTCTACATGACATAGTCGTTACACATCACGTCTCTACATGACATAGTCGTTACACATAACGTCTCTACATGATGTAGTCGTTACAGATCACGTCTCTACAGGATGCAGTCGTTACACATCACGTCTCTACATGATGCAGTCGTTATACATCACATCTCTACATGATGTAGTCGTTACACATAACGTCTCTACATGACGTAGTCGTTACACATCACGTCTCTACATGACACAGTCGTTACACACCACGTCTCAACGTGACGTAGTCGTTACACACCACGTCTCTTCATGACGTAGTCGTTACACATCACGTCTCTATATGACGTAGTCGTTACACATCACGTCTCTACATGACATAGTCGTTACACACCACGTCTCTACATGACGTAGTCGTTACACATCACGTCTCTACATGACATAGTCGTTACACATAACGTCTCAACATGACGTAGTCGTTACACACCACGTCTCTACATGACGTAGTCGTTACACATCACGTCTCTATATGACGTAGTCGTTACACATCACGTCTCTACATGACGTAGTCGTTACACACCACGTCTCTACATGACGTAGTCGTTACACATCACGTCTCTACATGACATAGTCGTTACACATAACGTCTCTACATGACATAGTAGTTACACATCACGTCTCTACATGACATAGTCGTTACACATCACGTCTCTACATGACATAGTCGTTACACATAACGTCTCTACATGATGTAGTCGTTACAGATCACGTCTCTACATGATGCAGTAATTACACATCACGTCTCTACATGATGCAGTCGTTATACATCACATCTCTACATGATGTAGTCGTTACACATAACGTCTCTACATGATGTAGTCGTTACAGATCACGTCTCTTCATGACATAGTCGTTACACATCACGTCTCTACATGATGCAGTCGTTACACATCACATCTCTACATGATGTAGTCGTTACACATAACGTCTCTACATGACGTAGTCGTTACACATCACGTCTCTACATGACATAGTCGTTACACACCACGTCTCTACATGACGTAGTCGTTACACACCACGTCTCTTCATGACGTAGTCGTTACACATCACGTCTCTATATGACGTAGTCGTTACACATCACGTCTCTACATGACGTAGTCGTTACACACCACGTCTCTACATGACGTAGTCGTTACACATCATGTCTCTACATGACATAGTCGTTACACATCACGACTCTTCATGACGTAGTCGTTACACATCACGTCTTTACATGATGTAGTCGTTACACATCACGACTCTCCATGACATAGTAGTTACACATCACGTCTCTACATGACGTAGTCGTTACACATCACGTCTCTACATGACATAGTCGTTACACATCACGTCTCTGCACGACGTAGTCGTTACACATCACGTCTCTACACGACGTAGTCGTTACACATTACGATTCTACATGACGTAGTCGTTACACATCACGTCTCTACATGACGTAGTCGTTACACATCACGACTCTACATGACGTAGTCGTTACACATCACGTCGTTACACATCACGTCTCTACATGACGTAGTCGTTACACATCACGTCTCTACATGACATAGTCGTTACACATCACGTCTCTACATGACGTAGTCGTTGCAAAAGGCGTTTGTACATGATGTAGACGTTAGAGATCACGTCACTACAAATCACATCATTTCTACACGATGTAGTCGTTACAGACCACGTCTTTTCACCACTTTGTCGTTACAGATCATGATCACGAATTAGGCGTTTTGGATCACGTCTCTACTTGATGTCCCCAGACGATTTAGTCGTTTCAGATCATGTCTTTACCTGACGTAGTATAAGACCACGTCTCTACCTGAATGTCGACGTTAGAAACCACGTCCCTACATGATTTAGGCTTTTACATATCATATCTCAATGTGATGTAGACGTTACAAATCACGTCTCTACCTAATGAAGACGTTACAGATAATGTATTTACATTGTGCCCACCTTACTGACTACGTTTTCAAATAATACTGACAACGCATATCTGCAAGACGACATAGACTGAATAGGCCTTACAGTCAAGCTTTCCCTGAAACATTATAGCCCTAGACAGTTCATTCCGCTTATTTCCCATATGATGTAAATGTAAGCTGCAGTATAATGGCCTGTGTATTCAAGGGCTTCAATACTGTACATCCTATTGCAGTTGCTGCTTAAGTGTAAGACTCGCTGACAACTGATAGACGTTTGTGTAATAGATGGGATCAGTCCACAGTCTATCTACATGTTTATCTAAACGCACATACACACAATCAGCTTTTTGATGTGATGTCAAATTTCTGGAATTGTGCATTTGTGGATCAGACAACATGTCTGCCCAAATCACGAGTGTATTTATGTCCAGTCGATTGGATGATGAAGATGAGAGAACTGTTTAGGAAGCGTACCGGTGGCCCAGTGGTTCATGCCGTCCAGACCTGCTCATGGTGTGTAGTTCTGATATCGTATGTATCTAGACTTCCTATTTCCCTGAACCCCATTAATTGTGAGAACCAAGTGTTGGGGACATTGGTGGCACAGTGGTCTTCGCCCGCCTTAGCTGCCTACATCGAAGTGTTATGTGTTCGAGTCATACCCTAATGAGTTTCACGACAGTGGTGTGACCTGAAGCACTTCCGGTTTTCCTCAGACTCGGTGACCTGGTTGATACAAAATCAGAATACAGACAGAATCCAATACAAACTCAACCTTTTTGTTTTCAAGTGTCTCAATAACCTAGCTGCAAAGTATCTATATGACCTGGGCCCCGTTCCTCAAAGCGATCGTAGCGCTACGACAGTCGTAAGTCTATGTTAAAGTATGGGAGTTACGATCACCTTAGCGCTACGATCGCTTTCAGGAACAGGGCCCAGATCACCAGATATCAGCCCATCCGATCTGAAAATCTTGGTCTTCTTGTTGTCCCACACTTTAGGTCCAGTACCAGTTTGGGGGTCGATCATTTCAGGTGGCAGGACCCACTCTCTGGAATCAACTTCCACTAGAGTTAAGGACAATTAACAACCTGAAGATTTTCAAATCTAAACTGAAGACATACCTTTTTAAGAAAACATACAGTGTCTAACTTGTTATTCTTGAGTTGTTCAGAGAGCGCTACTGAGCAGTACTTTTGGACTGGAATTGGCGCTATATAAATATTTTTATGATGATGATGACATGCCATCGTATCCCAACAACATAGATCGAAGCTTAAGATGGTGATCATTGGATTGTCTGGTCCAAACTCGATTATTTACAGACCGGCGCCATATCACTGGATGTTACACAACAAATTAACAAACCTCTAGGTCATTTGTTTCATGCTGCATCACTGATCACTGTGTGGGATAGCCTTGTGGTTAAAGAGTTCGCTCATCACACCGAAACCCGGGTTCGATTCCCCACATGGGTACAATGTTCGACGCCCATGTCTGGTGTCCCTCGTCGTGATATTGCTGGAATATTGCTAAAAGCGGCGTAAAACTAAAACTCACTCACTCACTTCTTCGCCGTGATGTTATAAAACTTTGGGCATTTCACGACTGTCCACTTTAGCGTGGCGCTTCACAGCAATCATGACACATTCATCAAAGATCTCACTCTCTTCCCACAGAGGTTACTCAAATCATATCTTCCCACGTACCTCTGTTCTAATACGGCCCTTCATGGCGCGAGTGTTCAGGATTCGTGATTGGTTGTAATCAGATTTAGTTGTGCAATCAGCGACGTTGTTTCAAAAGTGATCATTCGCAAAGCCTCGGTAATTTCCGTATCCTTCGGGAAAACTAGAACCTCTTCCCCTACGTGATGCGCAAACGTTTCTCCTAGACAGAACTCATGTAATGGCGGATCAGTGGCGTCTCCATCGCCCTCGTTGACAACGGACAAGCTAGCAACTAAATGTCCTGTGTGTCACATCAACACAAGACCCCGGCAGAGGAGGGATATTTGTGGCCCCACATTTGCTTATATTAGTCAAGTTGAGCAAGTGTTGGGAAGGAATATCCACAAGAAACAGAGATCGGGATCGCAATATTGGATCTAAGTCGAAGTAACACGTGTTCTGATTGGATGGAAAGAAGGGAGATAATTCGTGATGCGTTTTGTGGCGCTAGGACTTTACGAGATGGCGGTATTAGAACAGAGGTACGTGGGAAGATATGACTTCAGTAACCTCAATGCAAAGATCAGAGATTCTATTTATTTACACTGGTTAATGCATTTATGTTTCGACTCTGATAGGGGCGGTGGGGTAGCCTAATGGTTAAAGCGTTGGCTCGTCACGCCGAAGACCCGGGGTCGAATCCCCACATGGGCACAATGTGTGAAGCCCATTTCTGGTGTCCCCCCGCCGTGATGTTGCTGGAATATTGCTAAAAGCGGCGTAAAACCAAACTCAGTCAGTCAGTCAGTCAGTCGACTCTGATAAAGCTATGACAAGGTGCAATCTAGTTCGGTCTGCTGTTTTTCGTGTCAACATGGATTTGATGAGAGTTTAATAAAGTTCATTCCTCCCAATCCATGTTTATCAAGTACGATATAAGGATTATTTCAGTTAAAATAAAAAAAGACACGCAACACTTTTGACGAGTAAAGACCGACGAGTTTATTAGCATTTACTTGGAACAGGTGCTTGACATAAGTTCCATGTCAACGTTACCATGGCAACAAAGGGGGTCCGCCATAGCCCACGTATACGATAAGACAGAACGCTGTAGCGTAAACAAAACAACATCAACAACAACGACGACGACGATGATGACGAGGACGACACAGACAGCGCCGTGAGAACGTCCACACCGCGATGAAGGAGTGAAAGCCAATGACAGGCCGTCGTGCACACCTGCTAAGTGGGTTCCCTCCCTCAGACCGTTTCACCGCTGGGGATCGTCACTTCCTGTAGAGGGAGACAATCCACGTAGACCTCGCGAAATGACACACGGTAATGAGAAACGTTTTATCCAGCCTTGTTCAGCCGTCGCGCGGCGCCCAGAAAGTCACTGTGTGCAAAGTATGGAACGTTCAAATCATTTCTGCGCACTACGTCATAGATTCGTGTTTACACTGCGTCAGCATACACGCGCATACGTCGACGTCATCACATTCCCCTTGTATTCAGTCGTCTGCAAGAGAAGATAACAATGTGATAAGAAAAACGCACACGCGCGCACACAAACATGACCAGAATTCACACACACGCGCGCACACACATGACCAGGATTCATCACATACCATAACGAATACGACGTACAGTCTCCACCTCCTTCAAACAATGAATGGGGCGGTGGGGTAGCCTAGTGGTTAAAGCGTTCGCTCGACACGCCAAAGACCCGGGTTCGATTCCCCACATGTGTAAAATGTGTGAAGCCCATTTCTGATGTCCCCCGCCGTGACATTGGTGGAATATTGCTAAAAACGGCGTAAAACATAACATACTTACTCACATTCATTAATTGAATTTGTTATTTGCAATCTCTAAAATCAAACATTCGTCATTTTTAAAAAAAAATTGAAACAGTGTTTTTCACTTGAATTCATCTGTTATATATTATAAATCCTGATCGATATGGATTATATCAAACAGTGGCACGGTGGGGTAGCCTAGTGGTTAAAGCGCTCGCTCTTCACGCGGAAGGTCCGGATTCGATCCTCACTCACGCGAACAATGACGTTTGGTGGTATGAACGCTCTAGGTGATATAGGGGCACTGGTAGCCGCCATTTTCAATGCAGAGTTGCTCACCTTCAGCGCCTACAGCTTGCACTACACCAAATTAGAATCCGTATTTTTACAAGCAATTTTCGCCCCGAACCTTCAGTGCTGACTGAATCATCTGGCAGCTGTGATTGGGTGATTTTGTGTAAGATTTTGCTGTTTTCTTAATGTACATCTATCCAGAAATTAAACCCGACCATATTTTTTAATATCTAATGCCATTTTTGTTTACATGATGACTTTTGTTGAATGTGACCACAGGTCAAGCAGTTGACATTTTGTGCGGAACTTGGGTTGGTCCGTTCAGCATCCAGTACTCGGAAAAGGAGCTGGCTGAAGTGGTCATTTCTTATTGCTTCCATAATGCCAGGGGGCGGTGGGGTAGCCTAGTGGTTTAATCGTTCGCTCGTCACGCCGAAGACCCGGGTTCGATTCCCCACATGGGTACAATATGTTATGCCCATTTCTGGTGTTCCCCGCTGTGATATTGCTGGAATATTGCTAAAAGCGGCGTAAAACCAAAAACTCACTCATTCACTCATTTATATGGAATATGGCTATGAGAGCGTAAAGCCTCACTCACTCGTCACGCCCAAGAACCGGGTTCAATTCCCAACATGATATATTGTGAGGTCCATTTCTGGTGTCCCCCGCCGTGATATTGCTGGAATATTGCTAAAAGCGGCGTAAAACCCAAAACTCACTTACTCATTTATATGGAATATAGCTATAAGAGCGTAAAGCCTCACACACTCGTCACGCCCAAGAACCGTGTTCAATTCCCAACATGATATATTGTGAGGTCCATTTCAGGTATCCCCCGCCGTGATATTGATGGAATATTGCTAAAAGCGGCGTAAAACCCAAAACTCACTCACTCACTCATTTATGTGGAATATGGCTATAAGAGCGCAAAGCCTCACTCACTCGTCACGCCGAAGAACCGTGTTCAATTCCCAACATGATATATTGTGAAGTCCATTTCTGGTGTCCCCCGCCGTGATATTGCTGGAATATTGCTAAAAGAGCTTAAAACCTCACTCACTCACAGTGACTCACTTACTGACAGAGAGTACTTACGACAAGCATCTTCCCGGAGTCTTGTATCTGTCTCATGATCTGCATCTCGTTCTCCATCTCTGCTATCTTGTGGGTCTCCAGGAACATTCCATCCTTCGCAGTGATCACGCTCTGAAGCAAATGTGTGCACATTAAGTACAGGGTATCTCCAGTACTTACTGCCATGTTATTTCATTGTGCCAACATAAGGTTCTACCCGTGAAGAATTGGTCTTCAGTTGCCCATGCTTGTCGTAAGAGGCGACTAACGGGATCGGGTGGTCAGGCTCGCTGACTTGGTTGACACATGTCGTCGTACCCCAATTGCGTAGATTGATGCTCATGCTGTTGATCACTGGATTGTGTGGTCCAGTATCGATTGTTTACAGACCGCCGCCATATAGCTGTAATATTGATGTGTGCGGCGTAAAACAACAAACCAAACCAAAATGAGGTTCATTCAAAGAATTTGTACGAGTGGGTGGGTAAATAATCAGCTGTTTTTCAACCTTGTACATAGTCATATTTGGACCCGACAGTGACTGAGAACACGAGCAAACCGGCTCAAATGACACCAGACCAAACCAAGTCACCCAATTCTCCTTAGTCGGCTCCTGGTGCATGTGTACTGAAGCGCCTGATATCGAAACAACACCAGTAAGTGATGGCAGTTGCATGCAATAGAGGAAAAGCAAGCCATGCAAGACTTAGTCGTCCAAGGTGTCAAAGGTCGCTGTTAAGAGTTACGCCCCTTGGGCACGCCATAACCTATAATCGTGGGCTCGAATCCCAGTTCACATTCGCGTAAACAGGATTACAGATTGTTACAGATTATGGGAGCGCGGGAGGCCCAATCGACCAATGGCCAAGACAAAAAAAGTTCGTTATATCCGTCAGTTCGTTATATCCGTCAGTTCGTTACACCCGTCAGTTCGTTATATCCGTCAGTTCGCTATATCCGTCAGTTCGTTATAAGCGTGTTCGTTATACGTATACAGTTCACTGTACTGGTTAAAGCGTTCGCTCGTCACGCCGAAGACCAGGGTCCGATTCCCCACATGGGTACAATGCGCGAAGCCCATTTCTGGTGTCCCCCGCCGTGATATTGCTGGAAAACTGCAAAAAGCTGCGTAAAACTAAACTCACTCACTTACTCACTGTAGTAGTAGGGTTCAACCATGCCTCGATCTTTGTTCGGCTGTCTCATGTTAAGATTAACCTCGATGGAACGCTCAGGTGGCCAAGAACGAGCGTAAAACACCAACATTGCCAAGATAGAGTAATGGTCACAAGCAGTGTGCGAAATAGCCACTGGCCCGCTAGCCCGTGGCTAGTAAATATCCAGTCAGGCCAGTAAATCTCGGCCCGCCTGGCTAGTGAATTTTCATGGGATTATATTCTAATTATATCACTCCCTTCGACTTGTTAAGTTATAGTACACTTTTAAATCACGCACGATTATGGCCAGATAAAAATGTTTATCATATTAGCAGCTTAGTTTCTACATTCAAATTTCGGGGCAGTGAATTATTTTGTTGGCTAGTAACTTTCAGGCATAGCTAGCCCGACTGGCTAGCAAACTTTGGAAACTATTTCGCACACTGGCCACAAGAGGCGTTTTCAACATGGCTGCCGAGGCGGCCATGTTTCATTTCGAGACAGTGCCGCCAACAGACGACGGACACAACTGTCATACCTTCAGATGGCTTCGAAGTTTGGCCCAAGTTATCAAAAAATCCCCATTATCGTTATAACGTGGAGGTGTGTGGTTCCGTGCATAGAGCACAGGTCACAAATCAGTTGAAGTTAACCAACGTTGGTCGCGGAGAGTCCGTGGATGGGTGACCACATTTGGAAGCTTGACTCCTGAGAGTTTCTAGGACTTCAGTCATGCCCCACAACGAAGCACATGAGATACATGTCTCACCTAAGGCGAGTGACTTTGTTCCTGCATTGCCTCAGTTCACCCAGCAGTAAATGGGTACCCGGTGGGATAAGTCATATGACTGTTACCCTTCTAGTGCCCCACAGACAGCTTGGGTTATCCGGAGTAATATTTCGTTAGCGCTTTGACCATGCACAAGTGCGTGGAAACAGGCGTTTTCTAAACAACCATTATTATTATTATAACGATCAGTTGCGATGTAATTGAAACATTTAAAAAGTTTTCAAATTTATAATTGGTTGGATATTTTGTACACTGCACCAGGAGAATCTATGCGGAGTCTACCCTGACAGTCTGCAGGTTGCCTCAACGCAGCCAGAACACTTCCAGATCGGTCTATTTACAAGCTGGCATGTGCTCACCCACGGTTTTTCGAGCCCCCATTTAAAACCGTAAAGTTAAGTGTGTGGCACCCCACCCAGGTCGCTGGCTAATTACCTTAGACTCAAGGTGAGGATTTGTGCTTGGATTGTAACCGAGGCAATCCCAGCTCAAATACTTCAAGCTTTCGTTTTTAAAAAAATAGGAAAAGTAAGTTTCGTTTAAGCTTGAAATATGGCTGTGTGTGTTCTGTGCTTCCCGTTTGCGACTTGGTGTAAACGCCAAGTGTACATTTATATACTGCTTACAACATATATTCTATCTGTATCCTAACGTCATTTACAACGACTCGTATATCATGATATATACCCTATTTATATAATAACGTCATTTACTACTCATAAATCATAATATGTCATAATCATATCATAACGTCAATTACAACTACTCATAGATGATGATAAACCTAGTTAAATCAGACGTCATTTGAACTATTCTTAGAACATAATATGTTTAATTATATCATAACGTCATTTACAGCTACTCACAGATCATGACATATCTAATTATATCATAACGTCATTTACAGCTACTCACAGATCATGACATATCTAATTATATCATAACGTCATTTACAGCTTTTCACAGATCATGGCATACCTAATTATATCATAACGTCATTTACAGCTTCTCACAGATCATGGCATACCTAATTATATCATAACGTCATTTACAGCATCTCACAGATCATGGCATACATAATTATATCATAACGTCATTTACAGCTACTCACAGATCATGACCTATCTAATTATATCATAACGTCATTTACAGCTACTCGCAGATCATGACATATCTAATTATATCATAACGTCATTTACTACTCATACATCACAATATATCATAATCATATCATAACGTCATTTACAACTACTCACAGATCATGACATACCTAATTATATCATAACGTCATTTACAACTAATCAAAGATCATGACATATCTAATTACATCATAACGTCAGTTACAGCTACTCACAGATCATGACCTATCTAATTATATCATAACGTCATTTACAGCTTCTCACAGATCATGACCTATCTAATTATATCATAACGTCATTTACAGCTACTCACAGATCATGACCTATCTAATTATATCATAACGTCATTTACAGCTTCTCACAGATCATGACATATCTAATTATATCATAACGTCATTTACTACTCATACATCACAATATATCATAATCATATCATAACGTCATTTACAACTACTCACAGATCATGAAATACCTAATTATATCATAACGTCATTTACAACTAATCAAAGATCATGACATATCTAATTATATCATAACGTCATTTACAGCTACTCGCAGATCATGACATATCTAATTATATCATAACGTCATTTACAGCTACTCACAGATCATGACATACCTAATCATATCATAACGTCATTTACAGCTACTCACAGATCATGACATATCTAATTATATCATAACGTCATTTACAGCTTCTCACAGATCATGACATATCTAATTCTAACATAACATCATATAGATATTACAGTATATATTTCCCTGTCTAGACGACGCCAACAAATCTATACCAAAACTGCACCTGCATTTCGGTGCCAAGAAACCGTCATTTGCTATTAACCAAAACAACGACCTGAAACACCCTTCCAGTATCGCATCATATACCTAGATTTTTGTTTTGTTGTTTTACGCCGCACTCAGCAATATTCAAGCTACATGACGGCGGTCTGTAAATAATCGAATATGGACCAGACAATCCAGTGATCAACAGCATGAGCATCGATCTGCACAACTGGGATACGATGACATGTGTCAACCAAGTCAGCGAGCCTGACCACCCGATCCCGTTAGTCGCCTCTTACGACAAGCATGGGTTACTGAAGACCATTTCTAACCCGGATCGTCACGGGTTTCCTACTCCCATACTCTAAAGATGGCATCATAGGTTATAAAACACGTGTCTACCTTCATTGGAGTGCCGTCAAGGTTGGCGGAGTCGTACGGTTCCCCTATCTTGAACCGGAACTGCCGTCCATTTTTTACGTCGGCCACGCCCACGTCGATGATCCATTCGTCGCCATCTTTGTTATAGGAGATGACGGTTTTCGAGCATTTGTAGAACGTCGTTTTATCACTGTCAAGACCTTGAACAGAGAATGCACTAATGTCATCCAACGCAATACAATAAAAGAAACAAATTATTTCCACGACCATAAGACTGACTGAGTTTGGTTTTACACCGCTTTTAGCAATATTCCAGCAACATCACGGCGGGGGACACCAGAAATGGGCTTCACACATTGTACCCATGTGGGGATTCGAACCCGGGTCTTCGGCGTGACGAGCCAACGCTTTAACCACTAGGCTACCCCACCACCCACATCCATAAGACATATAGGTTATCACGCGAGTGTGTTTTGGGATGGTTAATATCCTGCATTAGGGATGGTTAATATCCTGCATTAGGAATAATCATTGTATTTAGCGAGCCTTGGCGAGCTAAATACATAGTGCTTATTCCTAATGCAGGATATTAACCATCCCAAAACACACTCGCGTGATAATCTATTTATCATACAGTGTCATTTTTGCTTTATAATTTAAAAAAATGCGATTTCAAATGCCACAAATCATGAAACTAAACTTCGTGGAATGTCTATGACGTCACAAATATGTGCGGAGTAATACGTTACGTCACAAGCCCGGTGCCGGTGCCGAGAACACTATCCATTGTACATTCAAGAGTCTAAAAGGCATGTCACCAGAATATCTAAGTGAACTGCTAACCCCCTACAAACCATCCAGACAACTGCCATCTGAAAGCAGATTCTTTTTGAAAACTCCTTCTAAAAGACTGGCCTCTTATGGAAAGCGTTCTTTCGCTGTGGAATGAACTGCCCCTCGCCTTAAAATTGTCCCCATCTTTTGCTGCGTTCAAATCACATCTTAAAACGCATCTCTTTTCGCTGCACTATTAACTCTATTCAAAAAATTATTATTATTTTGTAGCGCTTTGAGCACCCACTTAGTGGTTGGATATAGCGCTATATAACTTTCCAGTATTATCATGTTTTGTTATTATTATCATGTTTTACAGACTAAGATAAAAATAAAGCACAGAGGGTTCGAGTGATCCTGGCACAGTCAGGCTGGTAAGGCTTATCATCAACTCAGGGCCCTTGCCTCCTCTACACGCAACCCAGACAGCGAATGGTACTTATCCCAGGAACCGCTGCCCAGTCGAACCCACAAAGAACTTTCCGGAGAATATGAAGGCTCCCCAACACTGCAGCCTTCTGCATTACCCAGAGTGTCAGAAGGGCTGTGCTCCAGGTGGAGAACCCGGGCACTCTCCTGATCTGTGCCAAGAGATCAGGAGGTACCAAACCAATGGCACCGAGAACAATGGGGAGTCTGACGACAGTGTACTTGGGATGCAAGAGGGATATTTCAAAGGCGAGGTCCGCATATTTATCATGCTTTTCCTGAATCTTGCCAAACACATTGCTGTCAAAAGCTACAGAAAATTCAATGATATTCTTCTTCTTATTATTATTGTATAATTCCGACTATATTATGAACATGTGTTGATTGTTGAACGCCTCATTCAGCTATATTGCAGCTTATGACAGCGGTCTGTGAACACTTGAGTCCAGACCAGACAATCCAGTGACTGACATAATGAAATACGATGACAGAGCATGTGTTTATGAATCATTATCAAATAGTGATGTCACCAGTGGTGATAGCAAAATCACCATGGAGATGCAGCGCTAGGGCCTATTATGCTGTCCGTGAATACCCACCAAGATACAAGTCTAGGACCCAGAGGGCCTAATTTTGCTTGATTCCTGAACGAGAGACAGTTCTTGGGCACCAAAGGATCTATTCTGTCCCGGAATCCCCTTGAGAGACAGTATCAGGGCACAAAGTATCTATTCTGCCCGGGAAACCCCATCGAGAGACAGTATTAGGGCACAAAGGATCTATTCTGTCCCGGAATTCCCACTGAGAGACAAGTCAAGCTTCAGAATATCGCTTGTAACAAGCCATGACATGTCTACCAGCACATTGCCAAGAATACGTCAGCCGAAGAACTCCTTACAGAGGGAGTGTTCCTTGTCTGAAGTCAACTTCTGTCCAAGTCAGAGGCAACCAGACACTATTATGTCATTTCCACTAAATGCCAACCCCACTATACGCGTTCCCCAACATACTCCACTAATAGCTGACAACACAGAACATATTAGTACGCGGTAAAAATATCCTCCGTGGGTAATCTTAGCTGAATGACATTTCCAGCTTTGGCCAGCAAAGTATTAAATGGAACACTGACCTTTCTGATCAACAGTGCCAGACACTCATTCAGTATGTCAAGAAATGTTTTGAAGCCATTTATTCTGATCGATAACTTTATATTCATGCAGTGGAAGTCTTTCTCAACGTCATGAAGTATAGACGCCTCCCAGAGAGAAACCCGGCTCAACTTGCCGTCTTTTCCAGGGCGTTGTAGCGTTGCTGTCAAACAGTCATAGCGGGCAGTCAGCAAACGTAGATGAATATTTGACAAAAACAGTTCCTCTTTGTTAACGCCAGATATTGTTTTAGTTTCTTATCTCTGACTGGTTCTAAGCATCAGCCAAACCAAAACGTTTAAAAAAAAAGATGTGTCTGCATTTTAAATTCGCGTCCGGTTTCGAGTTGATGTTTTCCATTCTGAAGGTGAACTTTCTGATGTAACCCTAAGTTTTATGTCACAGGTGACTTGAAAATCTGGAACGGCTGTGAGGATTTGGAAGACCAACAATTGGGGATTAATGTTGAGGTGAAAAACTCGATTTCCCTACCGTTATGTTGAAAGGGATAAAATGAAGAATTCTTTATGTTGCCTGTTACACTATGCGGTATTGTGAAAGTATGGGTACATTGTCAGTGGCACAAACACGGGATGTAGACAGGGAGAAGTAAGGAGCCATTGGGAGACGGCACACGTTCATGCGGCGAGACCTTCAGAATATTTCGTCTAACAGTTAATTTCCACATAAATAGCTTGCGCAGGGCGTCAAATATACCTGTGTCAAATAATCGAAGTTTGTTCTGGCAGCAGTGTAAGGGAGTTGTGATCAATTATGGAACTGGTCACGTTACAGCGTGTCACGTTGACACGCGCACCTGGCACGCGGCGCACGCTTCAGTCCCCGGATGATAGTGTCGTGTTCCCGTGCCAGGCATAGCTGCTGCATCTCACAGAGAGGATGAGGACAGCCCCTCCCCCACTGAACCAGGGGTCGGGACCATCCCGTGGGGTCGTTGTGCGAGGGTGGGCGGGGTGGTCTTTAAGTTCAGCACGACATAGCGAGAGAGGAGTTTTAACTTTGTTAAAATAATTGGAATACCGGCTTATCTTGTCTCCGCAGAAATGTTGGAAATGTTAAGAGATGCACGCGCTGGCAGTTGCCCCCTGCCAAACCGTGTCTGGAATTCTTGGCTCCCCCCTGGGGACGTGTGTGAGACTGGGGAGATGCCAGTTTGATGAGAGGGGGTGGTCTCATGGCGCTCGGGTTGGGGACCGGTGATCTAGAGTAGGGGTGGTCACTTTTCGAGAGGATATGTTGGGTAGAGGAGGTGGTATCAGAGACCACATCGAAATGTGGTCTCTGGTGGTACGCTGTGGCGATTTTCTTGTAATGGTGAGTGGTGAAGTGCTGTGATGCGATGTGTGGTTGTAGCTCGCTGGATGGGGTTGTGTAGAGACTTGGAGTGGGTGGGTGTGGATTGTCGAGGTGTGGTGATTCGTGATGTGATATGGTGCAGGGCAGTGTGTAGTGTAAGATATGTGCGGTGCGGTGCGGTGCGGTGCGGTGCGGTGCGGTGCGGTGCGGTGCGATGCGGTGCGATGCGGTGCGAGTGCGGTGCGAGTGCGGTGCGGTGCGGTGCGGTGCGGTGCGGTGCGTGGTTTGTGATATAATGGAGGTGTTGTGTAGAATGTATTGGGATGCGGCGCCTTGTCTGGGGTAAGATGCGTTACCGTGCTGTTTGGTTCGATGCGGTGCCGTGTGTGGTTTAAGCCTCTGTGCTATGCGTTGCGTTGCGTTGCGTTTCTTTGCGGTTGCGATGCGATGCGATGCGGTGCGGTGCCCTGCGGTGCATGCTGTATGTATGTTGATGGCGATATGGAGAGGAATGATGCTGTGCTGTGTTGCAAACAGAACCAGAAACCGTGATCAACTAATGGAATGTTCTCCAGTTGTTCAACATAGACCGCAATCCCCGATCTGCAGATACCGCGCTGAACAGTAACAGACCCAGTCGTGTAGTCAGCGAAGATACCCATCTAACGGCGCAAACCTCATGTCGCTGTTGAAGTGTGATAATGCCTTTCACGACTGCTTTGTAAATATAATTTCTTTCCTTGTACAGATACTTTTTGTAAACCTGATAAACAGACACTTAAACGGCAAAGATTAAGTTGTTTGGAATTGCCCTATCTAGTTATCTCCTCTGAATGCTGTGGAAGAAAGCCCTTGTGTTGAGTTTATGTGCCGAGATCTGTGTGGCCAGTACATTCCACATGTGTTACGACGTCATGTCCTATCGCTGTGATCAGCGCTTCAACGCGTCATGTTTCTAACAGTAATAAAAATGGCGAATTGTAAACTGTTATCAGTGGCAAGGATATCTTTCTGTGGCAATGAGGTTTGTTTTTTAACCTGCAAAACAGCACAGTCTGAGGAAGACGCATGTCACGTGCACTCACGACGGGCTTGTATGCACCATTACAGTGAGCTTTACATCCTTGTGCACCCAAGGGGCGGTGGGGTAGCCTAGTGGTTAAGGCGTTCGCTCGTCACGCCGAAGACCCGGGTTCGATTCCCCACATGGGTACAATGTGATAAGCCCATTTCTGGTGTCCCCCGCCGTGATATTGCTGGAATATTGCTAAAAGCGGCGTAAAACCAAACTCATTCACTCACTCATCTAAGGGGCGGTTGGATATATGAGACATATGAATATTTAGAAAATTGATATCTATAAGAACATATTTTGTTTGTCTAAGTTTATATGAAATTATTCCTTGGATTCGACGACTGTCAATAACGGCGGAGGACAGACAATCCAGTGACCAATAGCATGAGCATCGATC